GGAACACTATCAGTGCACAGCACCTAAACTTGACCCCTAGCCTCTTCCCAGAGCCCACAGGTACACGGAAGGAAGGCAGGTCAAGACCACTCAAACCACCCCCCCCCACCCACACACACACACAAACTACCTAGCCCATCCCACCAAGGTCTGAACCCCAGGCTCATTAAATTTGTTTTCTTTTTCCCTATTATTTAATTTAGGAAAGCATTTAAAGGCTTTTTCAAACTATTCACTGTCCAGACAGAACTTTTTTAGCAAGAATCATGGTATTAAATATTTCAAGAGATACTGGTTTCTTTCTAAACAAAGTTTGACGACACAGTGGTTATTCGTGTTTGCTTTCGACAGGATTTGCTACAGCCCTCCAGGTTTCTCCACTCTGCTGACAAACTCAATGTCATTACACAGTGTGATTACTGTGTATTCTGTCCACCACCCTTGAGCTGCAACTTCACACAGAGAAATGTCCTGATCACACACAGTAAACTGATGAGAAATTCTACAATTTTCTGCAAAGATTTTAAAGTAGTCTTTCTACTCAGGGTTCTTCTTTGTCTTTATGAATAACAATCTTTCTTTATTACATAAAAATTATTTCCAAGTGCATCATTATGACTATCTTCAACTTGTCTTTGGAATCTACCTTTGTGAGATTTGAAATTGAGGCTGAGAGAATTGAAAATCTTATTAAGAGCCTTTCCAAGATCATCCTAGAGGTTGTATTTCATATTTCTTCTTGGCTGGTTTAATAAAACAAAAATGCACTGGACAGGGGCCAGTGAGCTATAGGAATATGAGTTTTGACTTAAAAGGAATAATAATAAAAATATAATCCAGGTTTGGGATATACATAATGCAGGTTTGGGATAGTGTGTGGCCTTAATTGTATCATTTGGGCAAATTTGATGTTTTGACTGGGAAAGTAATCAGAAAATAAGCAGTTTGGTGAGAAAAGATCAGAGCAGTGTTAAGTGAAAACCTTTAAGAAAAAAAGGTTAAAGTAATATTGTCATCCACCTAATCAAATACACTTGAGTAAAACAGATGCTCACAGAAATGAAAAGTTGTAAATTATCTCTTTCTGTACTTAAAAATAATTTTATAAACATTTTTAATACATTCTTTACAAACTTTAAAAACTGCCTTATATATGTTAAAAATGACCCCAAAATCTAAAACTACAGTCCCTTAAAAAATAAAATGTAACATTTTTAACCTTAAATTATGACAAAACCTTTTTTAATATGTTGGGCTGAGGTTGTAGCTCAGTGGTAGAGCACTTGCCTAACAGGTATGAGGCACTGGGTTCAATTCTCAGCACCGCATATAAATAAATAAATAAAGGTCCCTCAACAACTAAAAAAAAATATTTTTTTAAAAAATATTAAGGCATTTCCATATTTCCTAGACCATTCAGTACCAAAGAACAATGAGGACAACTTATATGGCCTTCTTCTCCCTCTACTAGAAAAACCAGCAGAGATACTAAATCAAATCCTCTTCCTCTTTGCATCACTTCAGCAGCAGCACTCCTTCAATACGGTGGAGCTGACTGATTCTGGTCATGATCTGAGTACTCATGATTCCCAATTCACATTTTTAGTCTTTATTTTTATAGAAAATTCATCCTGAAGTTCCACCTGCCTAGTGGATATCACACATAGATGTCCTAATTCCTTCAAAGGTCTCATGCCCCCAAACAAATGTACCAGAGCAACAAACCCCAATCCTGCCCCATACTCTGTGCTCCATACTCCTGGACTGTTTACAAAGGTATCACCATCCCTTTTACTAGAGATCTCTGAAGCAATCAGCTAGGACTCTGGTATAGCTCAGTGGTAAGAGTTCTTGCCTAGTAGTCACAAGGCCTTGAGCTCAATCCCCAGAAACAAACAAACACAAACACACACACACACACACACACACACACACACACACACACACAAGCAAATTACCCCCTAAGCCTGTTTTCTTTTTAGTAAAAGTCACAATGGCAATACCAACTTTAGATAGTCATTGGAGGATTGTATGAGATAATAATGGTAAAGTACTTACTTTATCATTAGATATTTCCCTTTCTCAATCTCTATATTTAGTCACCAAAGGCCTATCAACTCTGCCAACCAAAGGTCTCTCAAATCTTTCCCCAGCTTTCTAGTCCTACTTCCATTGTCTTGGTTCGGACACTTAGCATTTCTAGCCAGAACAACCATAAAACTCCTGGACTAGTCATTATGTTCCCTTTCCTCTTCAATCTGCTGGTCTGTAAACTCCATGAGATCAGAACATGATGGGTCTTAATCATCTTGTCCTTTCTCCCAAAACCCAGAATAGTGCCTAGCACAGAACAGGTATTCAACAAACACTTCTTGGCAATGCCAACTGGCTTCAAATTCATCACCCCAAGCACCAGACACAATAAAGCCATGCTATAAGAAAAGCCTCAGTCTTATTAGCATTGAGGGAAGTCCTTTGCACACTGAAATAAGGCTATATGACAAACTTTTCTCAGAGGCCCCTGGCCTCCAAATTCCTGTTTCTGCTCCCTTGAACTCATTATAGTACATCACTGTGGAAGCATCAGGCTTAAATAAGTAGTTAGTAAGCAAAAACTTCATTCAACACAGGCACAAATCACAAGATGTGTTAAGTAATGACAAGAAGGAAGTAAGTAGGATATGTATGTGTTAAAAACAGAAAGGAAGGGATGGAAGGACCAAGAGATAACTAATTTTCAGTAGGTATTAAATATACATGAGGCACCTGGGCTCTAAATATTCATGAGACACTAAATATACAAGAGACACTAAATATTCATGAACACTCAATATTCATGAGGCCTTAATTCGGCCACTCATTCATTAGCAACAACAATTCTGGCCCCATGGACCCTCTGTAAGAAACACAAACAAAACCCATGACTATTCATCACTCTTACTGGCGAGCTACAGCTGTGACCAAACAACTCGTCTCTCCAATAGAGAGATGATGTGCCCATGGACCAGGGCATTTTCTGTCTGTGGTTCTCCTTGCTTGACCCTCAATTCTGGTCTCCAAACCACATTATCCACAGCTGAGGTTGTGAAGGAGAAGGGGTGGGGAACAAACTATTGCTTATCTCAGGATTAAGGCAGTGTGGTCATTCTACCCACTTGAACTTAGCCCACAGTATGTAAATCTACCCTTTCCGCTATCTTCTCTCTGTGCAGTTTTATTGTGGGGTGGGGGTGGGGTGCTGCTGCTGGGAATGGAATCCAGGGCCTTGCCTATATTAGGCAAGTGTTCAACCACTGAGCTACATCCCCAGCCCTTGTTGTGCATTTTAAATTATGTAATCTATTGTATGATTCATGTATTTTAATTTCACCCACAAGTTTCTGATCTGTGGCCTCTGGGGGAGCATGTATGCATGCTTTTTAGGTTGCATCAAGATAATATCCTAGGCAACACCATGGCTGGATACCACATAGAGGACATGGTAGAAGATGCAGAAATGGAGGCAGGGAGACCATAGTTGGCAGTTATTCCATCCTCCAATCAAGAGATGAGAGTAGCTCGGATTAGAATGGTAGTAAATAGGCCCAAAAGACATGATTAAGTTCAGAATATATTTTGCTAGGAGAATGAAGAACAGGAATGGTAGGTAAGTATGAACAAATGGAGAAAGTAAAAGAAGTAGAGATTGTAGTAAGAGAAAATAATTCAGAGTCTGAGATAATGGAGATGGGACTATTCCAAAAGACAAAGAAATGACACTGCACCCAAAGACTGTGGTTGTTCAAGGAACAAAGACCCTGGAAGAATATTTACATTAATGATCCAACCAACAAAGAACATTTACATCAATGATCAAACCAACACTCAACTCCCCTGCAATGCCTCCACTAAACCACCAGTGAAAAACAACACCTGACCCTTGCCCAGGGGCATCCATTTATTGCAATGAATGTGACTCTTTACTCCTCCACTCCTTCACCAAACCCCCACCCTTAATTCCATCCAAGGCCAACCAGGTCCATCCACTACAACTTCTGGCAGCTCTCTGCTTGTAAGTTCTTTCTCTTTCTGACCTCTAGCTTCCATCCTTGAGGATACAGAAAATGTGATCATCCTTCCTCCATATGATACTCCCTTAGATATCTAGAAACATTTATCAGACACACTTGAGTCCTCCTGTTACAGAAAAATATTGTTTTTCAGTATTCTGTCTTACACATAACAAACTTTCAGTCCTCACACCATCATGGTTAATTACTGTCCCATGAAGGTAGCCATAATTCAACATCATCCCAAGGGATGGACCCATAGCACAACCAGAACTAATCGGTCACTTCCCTTGATATCTTCTTCCATACTCTAATAATGCAGCCTTGGATTAGTTCCTCTGGTGGTGGCCATGTCACAGAATTAAAACACAAACACACACACACACACACACACACACACGTATCTGTAGCTGAAGTCGAGTACAGAAAAAGTGAATGCTATACACAGGGTGAAGGAACAAGGACTTCCTGTTAGGGTACCATCAATGTTTTGTTAATTACCATAAATGATCTTAGTTAACAGGAAAAAGAGAGGGTAGTTTAAACAAATGACAGTAAATTCAGGAAAGAATATCAATCTAAAAGTGGCAACAGAATAGCTTTCTCTTCTCCATTGATAATGTTGTGCAAAAAGCAATTGTGGCCGTGACAAAGAGACCAAAGGATTTGAGGACAAAGTCAAAGACACATGAGAATTTGCTCATACTGGAGCAGCACCTGAAAGGATACAATATGCCACAGAGCAGTGAGAAAAATGATTGAAGTGTGTGGGGTAGAAGGCTGATTAAGTCACTATGACTAATTAAACACTAACAGCATCCTTCTATCACCATTGCCAACAAGTTAGATACCTAAGGATTAGCATGAGCTTTTTAAAAAGCTAAAAGAATGGCTGTATATAAAGGCAAGAGTTAGAAGTGAAAGAATCATAATGCTGCTTAAAATAGATACCTTGAGGCAGTCCACTATTTTTCACCTCTGGTTCATTCACTTGAATTGTGTCATCTTCAAGGTAGAAGTAGATTTTATAGTATCTTATTCTATAGTTTTCTTGGTTTTTATCAGGCACTTCATCTTCCACATAGGCATCAAAAGATAATACCTGTTGGAATCATAATTAAAAACCATGAAAAAAATCAGCAAACTTAAAAATCAATAAAGCCCATAATTGTCAGTATTAAGAAAAGGGTTGAGGAGATTTTTTTCCAAGATATTCCACACATCAGCAATGAGAATGGATATACAATCAAGGTTACAGTACATACAGATTATTTTATAATTTCATCACCATCTGGTTAGAACAAAGGAATGATATTCAAGTAATAAATCCACCAATCAGCCCTACCATAAACTTAGTTAGAGTTTGTCTTTGGAATTTCACAGTGGGATTCTAAATGTATGTGTTAGACAAAATATTCTTTCTCACATGATGAATATAAGTTTTGTGATTTTTCCCATCAAAAATAACACAAAGCTACTTTGGTTCTGGGCTAAAATTATCCTGACTCTTGCTCCTACTGACTGTTTATCCTGAGGTAATTCAAACAGGCAGATCCTAAATTATTCCAAAGCAAGGAGACTTTACCTCACACTTTTCCAGGAGCCTCAAAGAGCCTAGTTCAATGCTGGATCCAGACTCATCTCATCTTACATTGTATGGCCGGGGGCAGGTGGATTCTAATGCTCTTATGGCAAAAATCAAAAGATAGTAAAAAATATCTGGAATACCCTGGAAAACTGTGCCTTTCTGCAAGTGAAACAGTCCTTTTCTCTCCTGTTGAAGCAGATATCGGTCTGCCTTTTCTTCAAGATCAGGTGAAAAAGTCTTTATGCTTAGGTGCCATGTGGTATAAATATGTACCTTTAACCTTTGGAATCATCCCCAACAGGGCAACCTGCTCACACATTGAGGAGGACATGGAAATCAAGGACACTTGTGGGAACAGTATTATTTACACTACCATTTCAAGTTTAACCTGGAACTCTCAAGGAGTCTGTGCTCCATTTAAATATTCCCATTGTGGGGCTGAGGTCATGGCTCAGAGTAGAGTGCTTACCTAGCTTGTGTGAGGCACTGGGTTTAATCCTCAGTGCCACATAAAAATAAATAATTAAATTAAAGGTATTGTGTCCATCTACAACTAAAAACATTTTTAAAAATATTCCCTTTGCCTCTCACTTTTGTTCAAATTTTATCATTGAAGTTGTAAAAGTTAATTATGCATATAACTCCAAGGTTGTTCAACATAGACAATATGTATATTAATTTACTTTCTAGGGGCACTCAGCTATCCTAAATAAGAATAAACATTCCAGGAGTAGTTAGCAAATTTCTATCAGAAACCCATACTTCAGAAGTAGCTAACAAAATGCCTGATCAACACAAGAAGCTTTGTTAGTCACCATGTTAGAAATGAGTTTAATTAGTAAACTGATCATATTCAAAGCACACAGATCAGTTACCAGTGTTGACCAAGCCTGTCCTTATAGGAACAGGTTCTAAGAATCTAAGGATCTGGAGAGCCCAGGGGTCTATAACCTTCAACACAGCTCCTATAACTTCATTCAAATGGTCCTATATTCAGTGGCTTTCTTGGGGAATTTATCTGGCCTGATTACAATTAGTTTAGCAAAAACCCAGTGCTAGCAGGGTATCACATTTGTATTGAGAAGGTTTTTTTTGTTCTGGGGTAATGAACATTTTGGAATTAGAGTTGATGGCTGTACAACATTGTAAATGGACTAAATGTCACTAATTGCACACTTTAATTTGGCTAATGGTTAATTTTATATTATGTAAATTTTACCTTAATTACAAAAACAATGTTAGACACTAAATTGTGTTGGACATTTTAAATTATCTGAATTATATTTGGAACACCTAAAAAGACAGAGATCTGGGGCTTCATTGAGATTTCAGCACAGTAAGTATTCAATTTGAAACCTTTTTTTTCTTTGTAATCAGGTAGGAAAGTGTGAAGAGAATATTCTTAGCTCTCATCCACCCCTACATACTGAATGCTACTGGTATAAATTTGTGAATGACTAAACAGGCATAGGCCAGTTGACAACAATTATCAAGTACATAATCATTAAAATATTTACCAATGAAATGATGCATAAAAAGAGAAGATATTTAAGGGGGAAATAAAGAGAGAAAGACTGGGTTTCAATATGCCCAGAAGATGAACACACTGGTATTTCATTTTCTGGTACCATGAGAATACAGGGCTGCCAAACTCCAACATGAAAGAGAGAGAACAAATCTGAGAATGATGGAGATAAAAAAGGAAGAGGGAAAGGAAATTGTAAAATGTGGCAAAGTAGAATGTGAGAGAAGACACCAAATAGATTTAAAGTGATCTCACAAAGATAAATGACCTAATTGCAATGGAACCTGCAAAGAATCCAGAAAAAGAACCTAAAATAAAAACTGTTAGAAATGAAAATTTATAGAAACATAATTACAATACAAGGTTTTATCATAATTTATAAGTCAAGCAGAGACTAGATAAGAAAGGTTCTAGAAGATATAATTGGCTGCAATTTTCTTAAAAACAGAATGTCAATGCTCTTTGGCAGGGTGTGTGATCTTCAGTTCCCCACAGGCCTCCACAGGCCTTACAGTATTTATTAGACAAGGTTACCTGCCTGATCCCCAACGCATTTGGAATTTTGATATTAGCCTAGAGGACATAAAATATGAAATTGGTTAGCTTTCAATAATAGGTACATGGTTTCCTCATTATAAAGGGGAAAACATTTTCACATACATATTTCTGAATTCAGAGTCTTTTTACAATTAAACCAAAAAGAAACTCAAAGCAGTCAGGAGTGCATTTTGATGGGCAAGTAGTTACAACTTAATGTATGGTACAAATTTAGCTTTGCAGAGAAAGAATTAATCATATTTTCATGTCAATCATTTGCTTTGCACTGCATATCCCAAATAGCTGGATTTTAACATTAATTTAGATTCCTGGTTTTTATTTAAAATGTTGTAAAAAGATTCTTGTCCAGTGTGGCACTAACAACAACAGCAAAAAATACTAACTGTGTGTAGAAAGTTTTCTGTTACAGGCTAGTCCACGCAATCATAAGGCTAAAGCAAAAGCCTAATGTCTCAGAATACATCACACAATTCTTAAAGATGGGGAGGTTGGTGTGACCAATGCATGAATGATAAAGACTATTACTCAGAAACCAAACATGTAAGTGTCAAAAACTCACAGCTGTATTTTCAGCAAAGTTGTTAGAAAAGAGGATGAAACATCAGTAATGTTAAATGAGTATTGACAATTTACAAAGAGTTCAACATCACAAATCTTGTTTAAAATGTTTACGAAGCCAAGTTCAGTGATGCAGGCCTGTGCCTGTGGTCCCAGCTGTTCATGAAGCTGAAGCAGGAGGATCTCTTGAGCCCAGGAGTGAAGAAGAAGAAGAAGAAGAACAAGAAGAAGAACAAGAAGAAGAACAAGAACAAGAAGAAAGAAGAAGAAGAAGAAGAAGAAGAAGAAGAAGAAGAAGAAGAAGAAGAAGAAGAAGAAGAGGAGGAGGAGGAGGGAGGAAAAGAAACAAGGGTTGGGGAAGTAGCTCAGTGGTAGACTGCTTGACAGAGTGCTTGCCTAGCATGCAAGAAGCCCTGGATTTGATCTCAGTACCACAATAAACAAACAAACAAACAAACAAACAGTTTAGGCTCTCTGTAAAAAAAAGGGGGCTCAGACTTAAATTGTGAAGCACTCTTAGAAAAGATATGTAACAGTGAGAATAAATGCATGCTCTTCTAGGTTAGTAGATAACAAAATTTTGTTACATTTAATTCAGTGTTATTTATTCTTCCTGAAAAAAGCTATCATTAAATCAATGGTTTCTCTCACAACTATAAGCATCTTAGAATCAAGGAAATAAATGATAATAAATTTTGTGTTACATATAGAAGAGGCTCCTTTATACAGGGCAATGGTAGATTTATAGAAATTTACTACATCTGCCGCAGTCTGGCTGGGCACAATTCAGGAGCCACTTGTCAAAAGAAATGAACTTTATTTTAGAACCAAACACCCGCACCACACAGCTCCTCAGGAAAAACCCTCAGAGCCCAACTGCCACCACCGGCTTCTCACAAGCCTCTCAACCTCCCCCACTCCTCCTGCTCTTGAGGCCGATTGGCTGGGTCACCTGGGAGGAGCCAAAAAAAGTCCCCCAATGAGCAGCTCCATTGTCTGAAAGGGTGGGGGAAACAGCCCAATGAGCATCACCGCAGAGGAGCCAATCAGCTAGAAGTTGCTGGGGCTGCTGTGAGCCAATCATCAGCTGGCAGCTGGAAGTTTGCTGGCAGCTGGAAGTTTGCTGGGGCCCCTTTGGCTGTGGCTCTCAACATACATCAATTCACAAAAACAAGAAATTTTAAAAAACAGAAATTATATAAATTGTCACTGGTCACAAAGTAATACAATTAGAAATGTATAATGTAACTGTTAACAAAACTTGTCACTTCTAATAACTGCAAGTGAAGATAAATTTAAAACCGCAAAAAAGTACAAAATCTAATAAAATTTAAAATTATATAAACTTATAAGATATAGGCAAGCCTGTAATCTGGGGATAAATTAATGAATTTATATTATTATACAAGAGAATTTACAGCTTGAGAGAGGAAAAATTGCTAACCTTGTTTCTTAGCTTTGGCTGCACATTAGCAATTAAAATAAAAAGACCAGACCTAAGCCTAATTAAATTAAATTGGAATCATTGAGGAGAGGAAGGAATTAGTATATTTTTAAAAGCTACTGATGGGGCTCAGGACATGCTGCCCCGAAATATGACACCTTGACATTTGAGAAGTCAGAAGAAACAGGATTGTTTCCTGACCTTCCCTGCTGTTCTCCTAAGAAGCAGGTCATAAAATCTAGGAAGGTCACTTTCTGACCTTTTCCCTCACTCTTTTCCTGAAGACCCTCATGCCACAGGAGTCTTCCCTATACCCAGAAAAGAATGCCACACAGGGATACAGAAAAGATTCTGAACAAACAGGTCCTGCTAGGTTCCCCTCAATTTATTACCATTAGTTTATACCTTTTGTTCCCAATCATACTTCTG